CATCCACCCTGGCCGGGAACCCTTCCAGGGATGGAGCATCCACAACTTCTCTAGGCAACCTGTTCCAGTGCCTCACCACCCTCACAGTAAAGAATTTATTCCTAATATCAAATCTAAATCTCCCCTCCTTCAGCTTAAACCCATTATCCCTTGTCCTATTGCTACGTGTCCTTGTAATCAGTCCCTCTCCAGCTTTCTTGTAGACCCCTTTAGGTACTGGAAGGCTGCAATAAGGTCTCCCCTGGAGCCTTTTCTTTTCCGGGCTGAACAACCCCAACTCTCTCAGCCTGTCCTCGTAGAAGAGGTGATCCAGCCCTCTGATCATCTTCGTGGCCCTCCTGGACTCTGTTAGAACGAGTCCATGTCTTTCTTGTACTGGGGACCCCAGAGCTAGATGCACTACTGCAGGTGGGGGTCTCATGAGAGTGGAGTAGAAGGGGAGAATCACCTCCCTCAACCTGTTGGTCATGCCTCTTTTGATGCAGCCCAGGATACAGTTGGCTTTCTGGGCTGCAAGTGCACATTGCTGGGTCATGTTGAGGTTCTTGTCCATCAACACCATCAAGTCCTTGACTTGACAGGGCTGCTCTCAATCCCTTCATCCCCCAACCTGCATTGATACTGGGTATTGCCCTGACCCACGTGTAAGACCTTGCACTTGGCCTTGTTGAACTTGTTGGGCTTCATGCGGTTTGCACAGGCCCACCTCTTAAGCCTGTTGAGGTCCCTCTGGATGGCGTCCCTTCCCTCCAGCATGTCAACTGCACTGCACAGCTTGGTGTCATCAGCAAACTTGCTGAGAGTGCACTCAATCCCGCTGACATCTCAGACCCTTCAAGCACAGGGAATGTATACCTTGACACATCTCATAGAATACCACTGAAGCAGAAAACCAAATATCAATCCTCTCATGGACAAGTGAGCCTGAAAGTTTTGAAAGACAAAACTAAACAAAAAATTAACAACCAGTGAAGGGACTGCTGAGAAGATAAAAGCTTGCTCTTAATTTAAGCTGGAAGTTCTATGAAGTGTTGCGATAGTGCATAACTTCATACAGCTACATTGTCTCAGCGAAGTCATTAACAAGGAGCTGCTGTTTTCTGTATTGATCTCTTGAAGCTTATAGGTTTTTCTAAGTCTGACTTTTTACTTTTCATTTTGCATTTATATAACTTCCTACGCTATGGTGCATATCAAATTATAGCAACAGCCCTTACGTTGTGACCTCGTTAATTCAAAAAACCCCACCTTAGATAAACAAACCAAATTTCTTATGGAAACTTTTTGTTAAAAGAATTAAATTTTTATAATTAGATGGGAAGACTTTTCTTTCTGGAGTGTGAGGAGGAAGTACAACTACCAATGGTGAAATATCATTACTTTTCCAATTAACTGTAGTTTTTTAAAAAAGATTTAACAAACATACGATGATCCTGCAGTGTCCTTTATGTATTTTATCAATTTTTAAACAAAAATTTCAAGTCCCCAAAAGGTGAATTCTGCCTGTGTTGTGCAGTGGAAGATAAATTTGTCAAAATCTAAGTACAGTGCTTTGCAAAATCTGGTTCTTATGATATCCCTGAGTTCCTACTACCTGCATAAGGTGATAATTTTCTGAAATCAGTTTTATATTAAAGCTGCTACAGAAATAAGGTAAGATTATTAATTAGGTTATTGGTCATTTAAATTGAGGGAAGATACGACTTCTAGCAGCTACACAGAGGTACTGTACACTTGAAAAATGTATTCTAATATAGGTGAGAAAAAAATGTTATGACATGATGGTTATCTGCAGAATTGTTTTGTTTCTTCTCTAAACTTTATTGTGGTACTTGAGATGCATTTTTAATTTTTTCATACTGTTCTAACAGAAACCCAGTGGTTATGTCATTCTGCAGGTGTTAGGCCACAAAGGGTTGAGCAATAGCATTGATCAGAAATCACTTGCTGTGGACTCAGGGAGGAGGTCCAGCATGCAGATGATGCAATGCTTAAATAATGTGCCAGGTGTCCCAAGGAACTAATCAAGAGTGTGTGTTAGATTGCTGTAGCTGGAGCTAGTGATGTTGGTGTCACTATGAGAACAATCGTTGTACAGTTAGAGAGTTTTCCCTGATTTCCATCACGTGCAGCCTGAGGGTGTTCAGCACCACAGCTCTTGCCTCCTTCAAGAGTGTCCTTATCCGGTGGAAGAGGCTGGCTAAAGACTTCCCTCGTGCTTCCTGTTGAAGCTGGGCCACTGTGCAAATTCTGTAAGCATGATTCTGTACGCTGGGGGCTGATGCTGTCCTCCTAAAGCTAACTGTATGTGTGAAAGAGTGAGGAAGAGGGTGTTACTTAACAGTCTACTCACAGGCTTATTATTTCTATCATTGATCCTTATTGGGTCCCTTCCAACTTGAGATATTCTATGATTCTATGTCTGGTCTGGTAGATGAAACTTAAAGCAGAATGCATGCCAGGAATCTAAAAAGGCAATCATGAAATTATTGTTTCTTGAAGTATATAGAGTTGTAGGGTGTTGTGCAAAAGCATAGCGCTGTAGAAAGCTATTTTAAGAAGCTTTAAGCATAAGGAGTAAGGAGATGACCATAATCTGCTATGCTACTATGGGAAGTCCCGACACCCTGTGGCTATGAGCCGGGAGGTGGGTAAGCCTTCCTAAGGGTTAGATAAGTAGGAAGTGACTCAAGTTCACAAAAAAGAAAAAGGGTAGTCAGAGCTCTGAGCTGTGTGTGTGTGGTTAGGGTTTGTATAATTAGAAAGTACATATGATTTGCTTTATTACTGTCATGAATCAGCCTTTCACATTAGCTTGATTAGCTTGAATAAGTCAGCATGGTCTGTTCAGAACTAGGAACTCTTTTGTCTCTAATATGGCAGCATTTCTGACTAGTGCTTCATCCCATCAAGTTTTTATTTTCTAAAAATATCTTTGTTCATAAAAAATTGTTGATCTTAGTGTTAACAATGGCAACACATCGTGCTATTTATATAGATGAGATTGGCTGTGTACGCCAGCTTGAAGCGTGAATTTTGATGCATGATTAATACCAAGGCTGATAATAAGAAGAGTTGCTAAATCAGTTGGCAGGATCAGTAGAATTCTTTGTTTTGGTTTGGTTTTATCATTAAGTAAATGTATTATTCTTAATACAACTGTAAAATCAAGGCAAAAGGAAAAATACTGTAAAACTGCTTGCTACAACTTCTATTGGAGAAAGAGAGAATCTTTTATGCTTAGAAAAAATTGTGTGCAAAAATCCAACCCAGTTTCCTTTCTTTTTTTTGGTTTCTCTTTATTTGCCCATTGCAGTCTAGGAACAGATGTGGAGAGGGCATCACAGCTCTAGGGATACTTCATGCTTCAGCATTTCTCTGTCAAAATGATAGGATCCTTTTGTGATCACCTTAAGAAACATACAACAGTAATGTGATATTTCAAAGGCTTTACTGGTTAGAAAGAAAATGGAACTGGGAGGAAAAATAACTGCATGATATAACTTTGTGTCCCTTTCATGCTTGATCAGAAACAACACTCTTAAGCCTAATTATACAGGGGCAAAGGACAAAGAAAACAAATGACTGGCATTTCTTGAACAAGATTGCTTCTTTCTGGCCAGAGTAGTACTATCCAGAAGAGCTTCTCAGCTTTTCTGCCTCTTCCTTCTCCACATGCTTCATGTATTTCCCCCTCAAGTTTTGCCAAATACTTTCTTAAGACAAAAAAGACAAACTGATTTCAGGTTGTCTTCCAGGCAGCAGTGCAGTGAGAAAGAGAAGACATTTTAATCCCGATGGATATGGGTTTTACCAAGTACAGAGTAGTACTATCCAGAAGAGCTTCTCAGCTTTTCTGCCTCTTCCTTCTCCACATGCTTCATGTATTTCCCCCTCAAGTTTTGCCAAATACTTTCTTAAGACAAAAAAGACAAACTGATTTCAGGTTGTCTTCCAGGCAGCAGTGCAGTGAGAAAGAGAAGACATTTTAATCCCGATGGATATGGGTTTTACCAAGTACTGTAAACTCTTCGGAAAAGCAGAATTCACACTTTGGTTTGCTCCTTAAATCCAGAGAGAACAAAGCCATGAAGTAAGCGAACACCCCCACGTGCACTGATACAGTTGTCCCCCCCGCTCCCGACTCCACATGTACAGGGAGATTTTGTAGTTGAGGATATATTCCTAGCTTCTTGTTACGGCTGTAAACTGCTTTGGAATAACAAGTCTCACCAAAACTGATGCAGCTGCTCATGACCAGTTTCTGTGTCCTCCTGTAACTGGACTAACTCTGCAAGGGAAGAGGATCTGGTAGTTGGTAGAGGAAAATCTATAATTTTAAGAATGTAAAGAGAATTGAATGCAAAAGTTTTAACACCTGCCATCAAGGAGCCACAATGTGTGTTGGTGTTAATTGTGTCCACCTGGGGATTTACCTTATGAATAATTGAATTGAAAAAGTATTTTTATTTATATGTATGCATACAAAAATTTTTTATGTCTTTTATCAATATAAAATTAAAATATAATATACTTTTATATGTGCAGACTGTATGTGTGTGTGTGTTTTAAAATAGAAATTTTTTTATTATTTTCACAGCAAACCCAAGGAACCAATGTTCAGTGCAGGTAGGAACTTTTAAAATGTTTAAGCAGATAAAAAAAATAAAAATCTATTATGTTATCACAGTTCTTTTTTTTTTTTCCTTTCCTGTGGATGCCTAGGAACTGGTTATTGGGAATCTAAGCATGCTACTTACGGACTACTGATGACATATTTTTAAAAATAAAAGTTGATCAGTTTAGTTTTTATTGACCCAAGAAGTTTATTTTACAGTTAGGATTCTTTGTAAGAAGACAAAGAAGAAAAAAGCTGTGTCTTCTTACCCCAAATATATCTTCCCTTTCAAAGCAGTATTAAGGTTTTGTTAAAGTGTATGCCAAGTTCCAGCTATGATGCTGTCATGTTAAGTTAGTCATAAAAGGGAGTCCTCAACTACTGTTAAACAATGTCACATCTGTCCCAATACCTCATGATAAAATTTGTCAAATTACAAATAAAAAGATGTTTTGTTACTGCAGTTTTGGAAGGCTATCTTTAAGTTGAAAATCACTTTAATTTTTTCCTACTTGTGTACTATCCCTGTAAAAATATTTTGAAAGTGAAATAGTAGGTATAAGTGAAAGCAGAATTTATCTTTGTCATCAGATAGTTACAAACTTTTGAACAATCTCAATAAAAATACAAAGTGGAATACTATCCATGACAGTTATTTTTGTTCTAAAAAACCAAGGAGAACTAAAATAAAAGCTTTCTTTTAACAAAATAAGGAAGGGAAAAAAACCTTTTGATTTATCAGATGTATCATGTTCTTTTTGTGTATAGTTCTGTAACAATAATCATTCATTAAGCTGAAAAAGTAGAAAATCTTTTGTTTACTGAGCTGATTGATCAGCATCCAACAAAGCTCTTAAGCCATACTTCGGGGTTTAGTGTAATTGATTTCGAACTCAATAGTACATAAAACTAAGTAAGCGCTTAAGTATTTTGTGGCAATACAATCGCAGTTCATGTCCCTTTCATGAAAACTTAGTTTAGAAAAAGCAAACTTCTGATTCGCACAGAATATACTTTTGTCATCTAACGTTTCTCCTTCCCTTGCACCACGTAAGTAAACGTGTTTGGAATAATTTTTCTTCTGATGCTTTCTTTTTAGATAAAGATAAGTAACTAAACAGATGTGACACTACTTTTACCCTTCTTACCTGGACAGAATTCCTACTGAAATTAATGATTTTTTTTTTCTTCCAAGAAAGTTATATTTGGTATTTTACTCACTTTAAGCATAGAGTTGCATAACAGTATTTTAATGATAAAAGAACTAAACAGAGCCCCTAGCTGGAGGAAAAGGGTTTTGACTGTAATTACCCAATGTATGGCTTGGAGTATGGCTCAGGTACAAGGTTAGCCTCCAGCAGAATACGACCGGACAGCAGATAGAGCAGGTATTTAGTGAGTTTATGTATTCAAACACATCTTTATCTAGCCCTTCTGTCTCTGTCTCTGTAATCACAAGGGAAGCGCCGTGTGACACACTGCAAAGGTAGGCTTCACTTCCAAAACCTCATAGCTCTCGAAGCAAAATGGTACTGGTGGGATAAAAGCTCAATGGATAAACAGCTATTTTCTAACTTGCTTATGTTTTGTAACGTTAAAACTTTCCTAGTTCTTTTGAATGAAACAAAAATATTATACCATCAATTATACAGTCTCCTGAATTATAACCCTCAGGTGCACTTTAATAATAATAACGGGTTATAATTTAGATTCTTGTGGAATTTTTCAGAAGAATTTGAATTAGAAAAAATATGTTGAGAGAGCTATATGGCAACACGTGGATGTTCACTGTGTTCGAAATGGTGTTCTGCACTTTTGCTGAAATTCATATAGAATTTGCCCCTTTGGCTGTTTCGCTGTTAGCCTAACGTGATTATAGAAGCCTTGGTTTTTCCCTTGCTTTCTGTTACTGAGTAGACTAGATTTTTCTGAATGTTGAATAAACAGACCTAGGCCTACGACTAATTTCTCACTGCTTTTCGCTCAATGTCATAAAGCAGAGTTACGTTGGGTAAACATACCATACTGTTTTCTAAAGCTTTAGCTAAAGTGTAGTCTAAATATGCACATTTTTGATGCATGTTTATGTCTGTGATATAATCACAGATTTCTCTTGCTTTTTAGAGATAGCTCAATCCTAACAGTTTTGCCATTAATCAGCATCTTTCTGCTTTGCAACGATCACAAAGCAAAGAATGTTTGTTCTCAAGGCAAAGTCTTTTAGAGACTCTCTACCTCTGTGTATTCTTTGTACAATTTTATGCCTGCAATCAGTAGGGATCTCCTTTGCAGATCCTACTGGCATTCACGTGCCTTCTTATTTCAGTTCAGTAACTGTTACTTTTTACAGTTATTTTCAAAAACAATTTCAAATTTACAAAATTGCAGATGTAAAAGATACATTTGTCTAAAAGTTTCACCATGGGTCTGTCTTTGTAGTTTGATGATTGTCTGTCTTTACATCTATTTCTTTACATTTAGAACTCTGCTCTCTTAAAAACTTAGCTATGAAAAATACGAGGAAAGGGATGTAGATTGGTTATGTAGATAATATGTTTGGATTACTAACAAAAATCAGTACAGATGGAATTAATATTACCAAAAGTTAGAAATGAATACACAGTATGAATTTCCGTGCCCGAGCTAGTCATCCTCATTTCCTCTTTATAGCTGAGAGAGAGAGGGGACCATTCTGAAGGCATAATTTATATACTTGGTATAATATACTTGGTATAATTTACTGTACTTGCTTTTGGACATCTGCCTTAACATGTGATTTATTTGTCCAAAAGTACCTGTTTGTCCCTATTTACTTGAAAAAGGAGTTTTGAGTGACTAGGTCAAATACTTCCACTGTAGATGACTAAATGCAAGTTTTATGAGTCCTATAAGTTTCCGGTGAGAAAAGCATTTCCATGAATTAAACTTTCATCATTCCCAGCCTTAGATAAGCTCAGTCAGGGGTTGTCACTGCTGAAAATCTATTGCCTTCCAGTGCAGCAGTATTAGTAATATTGGCATGTGTTCCCAGCTCATTAAATAGATGCTGCATGCGCATACAAACAGTGCTGTAATGCTCTGCTATTTACTGCTCTACCCCCTATAGTTTATTTTCCAATACAGGTCTATTGGACTAGATTTTTAAAAAGAATTCCAGTATTTTAACAGGCATCTTAAGCTCCAACCATCTGTCACCATTATTTTGCGATTATTATTTCTTCTTTTTAGCATCCAGTTTTCTGTTGTTTTCATTATATGTATGAATTATGTAAATGAAGGGATTTGAGAGACCCCTAGGTGTAGCTTTACTGTGACAGTCAGGTAGATCTTCCCAAATGAATTAGTCTAAAGGCAAAATACACATATATTTAGGTAATACAGCATAGCTATGATGTTTATTTGTTCAACCGATAATTTTTATTCATTTAGTCAGGATTTGTAGCGTATGCATATTTCCAATTAAAATAAAGCCTTAGTTTTCAAATTTAAAAAATAATGGTATAGTTGTAATAATACTTAACAATTGATAGCATAGTTTTAACAGTCCTAAATTGTATAATTTTTTTTCATTTACATGATTTTGTTACTTCTGCCCTTCCATTTCCTCTGTGCCCACGGTTATTCTGTCTAGTAACTCTACAGATGTCACTGACTCCAAAACTGCTTGATTCGCATGAGAACAAGGCTGAACCCCTTGATCTGCCGATGGAGCAGCAAGAGCCAGCACGTTCTGAATCTGGACAAACTTCACCAGAAGTTCACAGGACACCCACTTTGGCCTTGCCAGTTCCTAAAAGTCCTAGTCAGACCTTCATGGCATTTCCCAGATCTCCTAGTTTTATAAGCCCCATGAAGTCCCCAAGTCAGTACTTCCAGATCTGTTATTAATCCCTGCTTCTCTCCCCCAAAAATACTTCTTACCAGTTCAACAAATTACTTTTAGTATTTTCTTCTAGAAATGTTTACTTCTGTCAGCCAATTCAGTTTTTGTAGCTTCTCTCCTGTATGTCATTTTCCTTTCTTTTAATGTGCTGTCAATGTTGTCATTCCTTTTTCAATGTTTAGTAATTCTTAAAGCACTTATCTTTTCTGCATGTACATCAGCATGATTCCTTTTACTAATTGTTTGTGTTCCTTATTTCGAATGTATCTCTAACACTGTATCAAGTGTAAAGCATATCTTTACACTGAGATGCAAAGAATGCAACTGAGTGTTGGAAAATACTTTAGATGCTGATGCTCCACTGTAAATATTCATTAAAAAATAAAATTAATTTTAAGTGGCATTTCTGCGTTAATTGTAATCTTTGATGTTTTCCCTTTCATTTTTAATATTTAAAAAACTGTAATACTGTAAATTATTTTTCACCAAAAAAAAATTTCAGTCCTTTCAGTTTTGTAGTTCTTCGTGACATTGTTTAGTTCTAATTCTGCTGCTCAAAATATTTAGAGAAAAAGGGACTTTGTATGTTGAAAAAATATTCTGCTTAGTAATTATGATTTAGGAAAAGAAAACAACCCTGCTTAATTTCTAAGTTTGAGATTGCATGTCATTCTGTAATTATAACGCACCAAACTGTTAAGTGGGAAGGGATGGAGGAGCTCTGGAGTTCTCCACTGATGTTTTTTTTGTGTAACACTAAACATTTCTGACCTTTTGTAGAGGAAGGATACGTAAAAATGTTTCTTCGTGGACGTCCTGTTACCATGTACATGCCCAAAGAGCAAGTGGAATCTTACAATTTGGAAGCAAAAGTAGAACTACCAGCCAAGAGGCTTAAACTGGAATGGGTGTATCCTTTCTGTGCTAGAGGACTACTGGAAATCAATCATTTCTTAATGATTTCTTTTAAATAATTTTTTGAGCTAAAGTATAGCAAAATTAAGATTTTATTAGTAGAGTTTGTTTCATCAGTGAAGCGACATTCCATTGAAACAGATGTTAATTTCTTGAGGCTGCTGATCTGTACCTTGTGAAGTAAAGGGTGGCAGCTTAAGAAAGACTGCTTAAATGTTGCCTGAAGGTTAAGTCTGAAACATGCTAATTAGCTAAAGATTAAACTAGGCATATTGTAAGAATGTAGTGAGCTGTGATTATTAATTATAGTATGCGTAAAACAAGCTCAGGATTTTTTTGCTGATTCTCAGCAGTAATTTACTGTTTTAAATTGTGTTTTATAAAACGTGCACCATAGTCCTTTAGAGGATGCTATCATCAACTTCAGTACTTGAATAAGCCCCGAATTGAATAGCACTTTGCAACAGATAGGTACTTAGCAATAAAATTCGTAAGATATTGTATATAAAATAATGTTTGAAGTTAGATTTTAAACTGTGTTTAAGCACCATAAATACGGAACAACCAGAATTTTCCACTGATTTCTATGAGTGGACATAATTACAGACTTACAACTTGAAAGAAATGAGTGTTTCATTACATACAGAATTTTTCACATTTCACTTTTAAATATAATGAGAAAATAGACTCTATTGAAAAAAGAAATGACATTTCATTTTTGTATAATCTTAGTATATGGAATAGATGATTCAAGATAGACTCAGATCTTGTGGTGTTTGTATTTTATTTGTAATATCCACTATCTTTAGAGAGATGAAGTCTTCATAAGGTTTTCTATTTCGAGAAAAATACTTTTTTGGGGGTCCCAAACAGTGCAAATAGGAAGTTGCTTTGTCTTCATAAAAAAGAATACAGGCTGCAAATAGTCTTTTTCAAGTTGTATAAATAGAACTGCATGTGCTTTCAGAATGCACACAGAGAGTTTCCAAAAGTCCCATTGTGTTCACAAGAGATTAATGACAGATTTAGTAAGCATTCTTCTTATTCCTATTGCAGCTGAGCCTGTGGGTTCTACGCCACTCTGCTGGAACTGCATAGGCAATGCATACAGAAATAACTGAAGATGAGTTAAAAAAACAAAAAAAATCTACAAAATTAATAAAACGGATGAGATTAGAGCGATAAATACTGCTTGCAGCATTTTACCATCTAATTGTTGTACAGGCTCTCACCATATATCACAACAGAATTGAATGATGTCTTTTTACACTTGTAAGGTGCCCCTCACGAGGGGTCCTAAGGGTGATATGGGAGAGTTAGGATGCCTGCTGAAACAACAAACAACTCAACCACAGAACAAAACAGATTGTGTTAGCAAGGTGTAGATGGAAGCTGAAGTTAGTATTATGACTAAGAAGTGATAATTATTAATTATTATCAATTCAGTCTCATTAGTTTCTCACTTAAGCTTACTTAAATGACTGAATATTTGCCAGATGGAGTATTACTTTTAGTTTGAATATTCGTATATCCTTCCAGGTGTGTGTTTGAATACCCAGCAGAATTGTATATAAAAGATTGTCTATGAATAGAAAAGGTATGAATTAATAAAATGCTCTAACTAACTATGAATGGTTACTAAGGAGGAAGCATAATTTTTCCAAAAATACCATGCTAATTTTTTTTCAGATTTTAATTTCTTTGCAGTTAAACCTAATCATCATATCCATACTTAAAAGTTACACCAATGACTAGATATATAAAAGACTTCTTTTAATTAAAAAAAAAAAAAGAGAAGATAATGCCCAATTTATAGTCTATAATGAGCAGAAAAGCTGGAGACAGGAGCATAAAATAATTTAAGGAGAAAGACGAAGACAGCAGAAAACCAACTGATACTGCAGGCATCCATTCCAGTTAAGTTGGAGAAGCTGAGCTGTTTACTCAGAGGATAACACAACTGGAGTGGGAGAAAACGTCTTTGTAGTGGACAAATCAGCCTGGCTGTGTGATTACAGGCAGGGATGCTTTAGAATGTAAGAACAGGGATAGAGAAACGAGATATTGGAGGTGAGATGGACAAATGGAAAGGGCAAAGCAGACTGTGATGAGGAACAGAAGGAAGAAAACCTAATGTGAGTAGATTTCAGGGCATGTCTGAACTCTAAAAGGGGTTTACAGTCATGTTTACAGGTATCTGGGTAATCCAAAAAAGATTCAGACATGAAGAAACAGAAATGCTGAATGAGGAGGTGTGAGGGAGGGCTGGAGCAGAGAAATTGGCACTGTGGACATCAGGCGGGAGCAGTGGTCTGCATGGATCTGTTTGAGACCAGCTCACTTGGCAAGCAGGAGGTTTGAAATAAAAGCTGCTGGCCAAATGAAAGGAAAAGGTTGAGATAACATTCCCTGAAGTGCCAACTCACCAAATCAAAGTTGAAGCCACCAAATCCGAGTGTGGGAAACAGTGAGGAGAAGGAGAGATCAACCCCAGGAGTTTACATCTGAGAAAAAAGGCTGATAGAAAGAAACTGAGTGTTTGACAACAGCAATCATGCGAAGGGTTGAATGCAGCATTGTTCCCCACTGGAAGAATTGTAAAGAAATGAGATTTTTCCCTAAAGAATTGTTCCCATTTAATTGCTATTTTTATGCACAGACATTTGTTCCTTATGAATGTCTATAATCTTTTTACTTTACTTTTTAAAAAAGTTCAGTTCCTTAAGCTAACTTCAACTAAGTTCATTATAATCTGGATTATGTATTGTTGAACTAGGGAAATTTTATGTAGGCTTCAGTTAGCGATGGTATGTGGCCATGTATGCAAAAATATATTTAAACAGATAAAGCATTGTCCTTCAATCTAGAGTAGTAACTAACCTTTACAGACAGATTCAAAATTGATAGTAAATGCTTTGTAATTTGAAGGCAGGGTTGTTTACGTGTCTTCAGATTTGAATATCTCAAACTTGAAAGATCTTTGGCTGAAACATTTTAATTTGGGAGTCCAAAAGCTGCATTTTTGAATGCACATTTTGATGGTTGGGTATGCTGCACTACCTCTATTGCATATATTAGAAAAAAATCAGCAAGCTCTTATTTAAGTTCCTGTTTTAGAAGTAAGATAACTATCATCCTTACTTCTTGGATAATGTTAATGTGGGTTTCTTAGTTTGACTGGGTTATCATTGACCATAGAGAATAGTGCACAAGTCTCTTTTTAATATCGTATAATTGGGATTTCAGTACCTCTCCATATATTTATCACAGCCAGTTTCGCCATATTGACTGAATTAGAATGCGCTTCTGTTTTGCCAAGATTCTGCTAATACTGTTTCTCTCTGTTCCCATAAAAAAGGAAAGCCAAAATAGTTTAGTCCCTAATGACTCTCCAGAAGAAGAAAACTGCATAATTTGGCTGAATTAACATTTGGTCTAAATGAGATTATTTCTGGATTAATTCCAGTTCTTTCATTGGATTAATTTTAGATTAGTGTTGATATGACTAACATCAGAATCTGGGCCACTGCCTTTTAAATACTACAAAAATAAATTGGAACGGATGATGTAACCCTTTTACGGTTTCATATCCATCTGGCTGGTAATGCCCAGAATAATGAAATCAATCAACCTGCATAAAGGATAATGCAATCAATCCTAATGCAATGCAGGGGGATGTACTGAATGACTTATTACTGTTTCCGTCAACTCTAAATTTTAGTTTTAATTAGTCAACCAGTGTAAATAATAAATACACTTGGGACAAAATTAATATTGCTTTAGTCTGGCATTTAGCAAATTCCAGAGGATACTAAAGGGATATATGTCACAAAATCCTGTTTCCTTTACCATGTGTTTTCTGTAGGATGTGTAGTTTTTCAGTTGCTCAGTCTGTGAAACTCTTTAGCTCTCTTTACTGTAGTAAGGGAGGGAGTTCTGATGGCTGCCAAGTGATAAAGCTGTGCTCAAGCCAAGAGATGTCGACTTCAGGAAATACAGGGGCAGAGAATCCTTTTTTTTTTTTTCTTATTTTTAACATTCTTCATTGGTAGATGATGTTATTGCAGCTTGACCAACATGCTAGCTATGGATACAGGGGTCGGGACTGTCGCAGTAATCTCTATCTTCTTCCAACGGGCGAAACTGTGTATTTCATCGCATCTGTAGTTGTGTTATTCAATGTTGAAGAGCAACTTCAGAGACATTACACTGGTCATAATGATGATGTGAAGTGGTAAGTCACCTAATAACCTTTTATTTTTTTTTCTTCATAAAAGAGTATTTGGGAGGTAATGGTTTGTTCTTTTAATATAGTTTTCAAAATTGGATTTAACTTCTAAGTCTTGCATACATTGGGTCCTTATGGCTGACGGTGCATTTTCACAATCAAACAAAGGTCTGACTGTAGTCATGGTAAGGATGTCAAACGTCTGTATAGCTCTACCTAGTCAGCACACAAAGCAACTGCTGGTTTTAGGATGGTTTGACATTAACTACTTCTTTAGACTCTTCTCCTTTCCCTTTTTTAAGTAGGATTGAATTATTCATCTTCACGTGGGTCTGGGTGCCAGATACAGGTCGTTTAGGCTCATTCTGGCCAACAAAACAGTTTTAATCTCATCCACGGTCTTCCTGGTAGTCTTCAGGCATGTTTATAACATGGCAGGTATCCTGCAAACTAGTCTGAGCAGCCTGGCTTGTCTGCTGCCATGCAGGCATGCCAGCTTGGGCTTCAAAGTGCTTTAGCTGTGTTCAAGCTTAGAGGGGACTAGGTATCAGGAAATACCAATATCATTAAACTGAAATCTAAACAAACATATGGTTTATCTTGATGGTATCTGTCTGCTTGCTGAGTGTAGCTGAAAAAGAGCACCTGGATTATCTGATGGGCCCTAGTGTATGAAATGAGTTTGACATCCCTTCTTCAGATTCAGCATTATGAAACACCTGTTGTCCCTCAAAGCCAAAAATAGGCCTGATAATCAAATCTGGTTGCATTGGAAGCATGGTTCATAAAATTGAATTATTAGTATAATCTGGTTGTTTTACAGGGAGATTTTTAATTTGGACCTGTTCCATCTCCTTTCTTTCTTTCAAATTTTCGGACTCTTTAGATATTTGAAAACTCTCAGGTTTATTAGAAAGAGGATACTTTTCTGCATTATAAACCCAAATGAATTATTGCCACAGTTTGTTTTACAGAGCATTTTGCCTCTAGAACTGTATGCAAAGCAGCTGCAGTGAAAAAAGCATGGAGAGAGGCTTTGGGGCAAAAGGAGACTGTACTCCAGGCTTTAATACAAATTTTAGGTTGTTTTTTCCGTAGAGACATTGATCACAGTTTTTTAAATCTCAGTTTTAATTTTAGAATAAAGATTCCTAATTTGTGTTATGCATTGCAATCACTTTAAATCTAGGTGAGACGAATCCCAATATAAGTTAGACTGAGGCTTATTTGATACAACCTTTGCAATATTAGGGCTTAAGCAAATTACTGCCTTGTTCACAAGGGAATATTTTTTCAATAAAAGAGCATGAATATTCTTTTGTCAGTTCTGTTGTTATACTTTTAAAATGTTTACATGTATGCTGTGTGTCTTATAGGACTAAAATAAGGCTATTTATTACAGGCTTAAGTAAAAGTTTGATGAAATAGATAATAAATGGCTTTAAGTTTGGCCTCTTTCTCTTTTCTTCAGCCTGGCTGTCCATCCTGATAGGATCACAATAGCAACAGGTCAAGTTGCAGGGACATCCAAGGATGGAAAAGTGAGTGACCCCTTTGTCAACATATAATTGCTTGTATTTCACAAGGATATGCTATCAAGAAGATAAATGCTATATTCTTTTCACGTTGCAGTTAAACTGGTCTTACATTGTAGGACTGAACACAAACAAAACTTAATTTGAGAGTGCCTAGTGCACACTGTCAAAGTTACCCAGTTCCATTATCAAGATTGATCAGTGGTTTCTGGTTTCATTCCTTACACAGACTGAAGGTAAATTTGGAGCTGGTCTCCAAAATAGATGGGTAAGGATGAGGCTACAGAAGACCTGAGAGGGGAGGTGGATGCAGGGAAAAGGAGAAGCAGCAGCAGAAATTAAATTGTGCACTATACAACTTCATTTCTGACCACAGCTACCAAAACCAAAGTACAAATAAGAATGGCTTTGGGTTGTTTGCTGAAAAAAATAAGTTATTACCCTTGCTTTTATCTAGGCAAGAATATTTTTCTCTCTCACTTATTACCTGTATGATCATAAAGCTTAGCTGTAGGCTAGGAATTTATTTGAGCAGAGTAAGATGAACATTGTTCCAAAGAACTAAGACAAGTGAGAAAGAATGGATACAAGCAGAAGCAGGAAAAGCATGAGAAAAAAGTCACTCAGCAGATTATGCAGCTGATGTCAGAGCCAAACTATTGCAAAATTTTTCGCAGATGTCAAAGAAGAATGTTAGGGTAAAACCAGATTATCAGTATGCTAACTACTTTAAGTAAATGAGGAAAACAAAATCCCAGTTATGCAATATAAGGTTTATGTAAAGATAACTTAGTTGTGTAACGTAAACTATTAATTTTTATTGTGTGTTGGAGAAATCTTTAGTATTTATTTTTTTAACTTTGTAAATAAAATTCCTTACCATTGTATTTGTGAAATAAAATCTAAAGGTCTGATGTCAATACTTGAGGGAAAAGTGGTATATAGATAGGTAAGCTCATATAAAAGCCATTTGTATAACTGAGATACTGAGGCGGCCTTGATTTATTCATTTATTTATTTTTAATTTCACTGCTTAGTAGCAAGAAACACTGATGGGTGTTGCTTCCCCCCCTGCCCCCGATACTGTAATAAAACATACGCACTTTATTTGAAAGGGCAGGGTAAAAAAAAGAAGTAAAATATGGCCTTTGTTGGTTTCCTGCAAAGGCTGAAGATACTGTGTTAGCCTCCTAGCTATTTCTAAAATCAAGCTGGATCAGTGAGTGCTTCCTGGATTGCCCTCTGGTGGATTTGAGCAGCAGTTTGTCTCCACAAGGTTGATCCCGCGTGGGGCTCTCCGGGTGGTGCAGAAGTCAAAGATAGAGGGGAGGGAGGGGGAACCACCTGGTTTTCATAGGGAATTCATCATGAGTCGTTATGTATACCTTGAATTTTACGTATAAAACCAAAGTTAGTTCTGATTACAGGTGCACAGTTCTTTTCTACGGCCATTTTTATGACAATGAAATTAATTAAATTTTAGAAATTCTTAATCTCTCTTTAGCACTTGCTATTTGCCATTGACCGGAATTATCTCAGTTGCTACAGTTTAAACTAATGATCTTAGACCTACCAGTAGGTCCCATGTCACAAGGTCATCACCAGTTTTCACTTACTGAAGAATGTCTCAGTGCCCGTTAACTTCAGGGAAGTAAAAAGATTGGTGAGACCTGACGTGCTGTACACTCTGGATAGTCAGTCCCAGATATCGGTTCTCGGCACAGCAATCAGCAAATCGTTTGTAGCGTATCTGTGCTTACATGGGTGACTCGAGAAGTTTTTATAATTTTCATACCTTAAATTGTATTAAAATGTGGTTTTGGATGCATTCTCATTTCTTTAAATTCCTGATGGTTTTTTGCTACCATTATTTCAGCTATTATTTATGTGTCTGTTTTATAGCAACTGCCACCACATGTGCGTGTCTGGGATTCTGTAACTCTGAATACACTGCATGTCATTGGAATGGGGTTTTTTGACCGAGCTGTCACTTGCATTGCTTTTTCTAAATCTGTAAGTAAAGTAAATGAATAGTCGTACTACAAATGTTTGCTGAACAGGTCTTTGAAATCTTTCAAATTTTAGCTTCCTTGACCAAAACAAACTTCCAAGCTGTCTTTTCTCTCAGCTTCCTCTTCAGAGGAGGAAAGCTTGCAACCCAGTTGTTTCTGACAGTTTATGTTGGTATTAAGGTTAGCAGTATCTCAGCAGTCTCAGAGGTCTACCTTACATATACAATAAAATGCAATTAATTTCTTCAAGGATGAGTAATTGCAGAAATACTTGTGTCCTTGAAATTTCAGTATCCTTACTTCTTCTCTTTAATCATCCCATTCTGTTTCTCCCTACATAAGTTATTCTCTCTCCGCATCTTTTAGCCCCCTGCGCTATGCCTAAGAACAACTGATAAAAGACCTTTACAATGGCCTGTACCTCTGATTTTGGATTTAAAAAATGGGAACTCCCATGGCAGAAGCAAAAACTTTTTCTTGAAAGCAGCAAAGGCCTATGGATAAAGGATTACAAAGAACTAGAATCCTGTTGTTAGCCTCTTGGCACTGTCCTTTGAGCTCTAGTCTATCAAGGAGGTAAAAAATTGCATAGGCAGCATTCAGGTCCCATATAAAAACATGAGTTTGTAACCTGACACGTACAATTCTAGAAACCCTCCACGTAGAACAGAATCTGTAAGTGGTGTATCTGGTGGTGTCTGGTCATCTTGACAGCCTTTTTAAAAAGGAGGAGAGTAAATGGTGTATTCCCTAGGCAAAATGTACTTCAATCAAAGTTTCATCAAGTATTTGAAATCTATTGGTGACAATATTTTATGGAAAGTAGAAAAGAGGAGTGAATTGGGAGAGCTGGTTAAGGATACAAAGGTGAAAAACAACGTCATTCCAGATCAGCTTTGAAGGATAAATAAAAAGGAATAGCAAGCAAATACTGTGTAAATATCTCCCTGGCGGAAGAAATAGGTACTTAATAACAGGATCCCCATTGGCAGATGCCAGGAGAAAGCAAGTGTTTAATATGTTTGCTTTATGCTGTGATTTCACAGTCAGAGCTTAGCCTTATTTTGAGCATCAGTTCCTGTCCCGTAGCAGTACTGCTTATCTCATTTTAGATAGCCCTCTCTTCAGGCTACTCAGTCCTATCTCTGTCCAATCTCTTGAGTTGCGTTGGCATAGTTATTTTTGTAGCTGCGTCTGAGATGTGTATTAGGGACCTAATTCATCAGGAAAACAACTGTGCATCCTTAGATATAAACAGAGTGAAGCAGAGTTTGCTTGCGTCTTTTTTTTTCCGCTCAAAATCAATCCATTCCTCAAACAGGCTCACTCCAAACTTTTGTGGAGACTCAGCTCATGAGGCAGCAACAAGTGGCCTTGCTCTGGGTGGCAGAAGAAGGACTGTTTGTGTCAGCGTTGCTGCCAAAGGAGCGCTTGTGTAACCACAGGCTCGGTCTGTTTCAGCGAGCTCATCTGCAGTCAAAGCTAACATAGCCGATGCCAGGAGCAACAGGATACAAAATTCATATTTGACTGGGTGGAAAGCAATTAAACATTACTTGATGGTTTATTCCACTGTAGACACACAGCTAGGAATGAACACTGAAGATTTGGAAAAAATGATCCAAAAAATACCTTCCAGATAGCTGCTATTTGGGAAAAGATCTGATGATTGTCCAGTAGTTCCCATCACTAGTGAGACCGATGTCGGTCACCTCCCCTCAGTTCAGGTAGAGTCTCGGTTGGAGTTCCTCATCCAGTCTTTGGATTCATACTTCAGAAGAGTGGGTACCGACTGGAGAAAGGTCTAACTAATATGATGCCTGAAGAAAGACTGAAGGAATTAGGGTCAATAAGATTAGAAAGACTGATAGAAGATAGACCTATAGAAAAGACACCTTTCAGGAATAAGTTGTTTTCTAATTTCTTACTACATTCCCTGATTTTGATCCATTATTCCCATATAAAGAGTAAAATTGTTCCCCCTCTCCATAGCAGATCTGAGAAGCAATTGGTTTAAATTGTAAAGAAACTGAATATAATCATCAGGAAAAGCTTTTTTAACAGTGTAGATAATGATGTGTAGTTTGCCTTGGGAATTTCCATCACTGGGTGTTTGGAAAGAGAAACCTATCCCGTTCCTGACAAAGTCTGTTTGTCTGCAGTTTGCAAGAGTTTCTCTTCTGGATCCCTTTTTAGCCCTGTTTTTCAATAGTCCTATAAATTATTATATTTCATGGAGATCTATGGGATACTAAAACTATAACAGTTAAAGTGTAAATATGTATATGTGTTTTCACCTACACAGAAGTATTAAATTATTTTGAATGTGTATTTACGTGTTTCTAATGTTGGTTGGGGGATGCATTAACATTTTCTATGTTTTGCCTCAGAATGGAGGAAGTAGCCTGTGCTCCGTGGATGACTCGAACGACCACGTGCTTTCTGTGTGGGACTGGCAGAAAGAAGAAAAGCTGGCAGATGTCAAGGTGTTGCAATAAGATATTTTGTACTACTTGCTTGTATGTAGGTTTGGATTTCTTGTCATAAAATGCCTTTCTATGTTTAACATATTGTGCCTTTTTAACACTTTCATTTTACAAAAGGCAAAGAACATGAAAGGGAATATTTTTGCTCACTGTTGAGATTATCCCAATAGTTTGGGGGTTTTAAAATTTTGTTGCTGTCATTCTATTATTAGGCAATCAATCAAATTGATTAGAAAAGTCTAGGCAGCAATGATAGGAGCATGTGCAGAAAAGAAATTAATCTTTTGTGTAGAACTTCTTGTTATCTGACATAGCTTTGAAGGATAACTTTTGATACTAACTTATAAACCCAAAATCTTTTGACTTCAAAGTATTCTACTGAAGTATTCCAGTCTACACTAAGAAATGAATAGCTCAGAATTTTTCTTAAATCGGGAGCTGATGAGTTAGTCTAGCTAGAAAACCATTGCATATTGGTTTGTTTTCTTTGAATTTTAAATGTTGATACAATGTTTTTCTTTTTTCCTTCCAAGTGCTCTAATGAGGCTGTATTTGCTGCAGATTTTCACCCTACTGATACAAATATAATAGTTACTTGTGGAAAATCACACCTTTATTTTTGGACACTAGAAGGGAATTCCCTTATTAAAAAGCAAGGATTATTTGAGGTAAAATAAATTTTTTTCTTAATTTTATGTTTGTAATAATAGTACAGTCACACAGAAATAAGGGTTAATAAGCATTGTGTAAATCAAAACAACTGATCATTAGTAAACTTGAAATTTTCAGAAACTCAGGTAGCATTCATGGCATGGCAGAGAGAACTTTTCCATGAGTAAAACGTCCACAATGAAGTTTTGAAATGCAATTACCATTTTGTTCCTTGCATTCTTTTTCCTATATTCTTTATGCTATGCTCCCCATCCCCCCTACAAAATAAAATTACCTTAAAACTCTCTATGCTTACCTCTGGTTAAAAAAAAATAAAAAATAAGACAGTGATATATACTGGGTTGTTCAGGGTTTATTTTGTCAGAGGAAAGACTTGCCAAACCCCATAAATTACATGATTATGAATATTCTTCCCTTTTCCTCTGTTCTGCTCAGATACATACGCATATGTAATTCAAATACAGATTGAGCTGGCCACTATTTGGTAAATATAATTTTCATTTCAAGGTCTTGATTGAGTTTTGTTCTTAAATATAGACTAAGCTTTACAGCAGTTGCGTGCACAAATGAGGGATGTTTGCAGTGCCTGCAGATAACTCCAGCAGGACCTTGTTAACTGCTTGTGGAGTCGTGGCTCGCAAGTATAGTCACAACAACGATTTTGCAACGTCAGTTAATGTACTTTGTGTGAAATCAGGAGGAGATGCTGCGATAATGCATTTAAATTTTGTTACATTTTATTTTTCATTCATTTTTTACTCCTGAGCTACTTGGGCAGATTTCAGCCTCTGTTATGGCTCTTATCCTCGATGGTTGTTGCAGATGAAAAAGTATAGTTGAGAACAGTTCTTAGTTTGAGGGAGATAGAGGCCATACACACTGGTAGTCAACAAACATTGTAAATAACGTCCTTAGAAGCTACTAGCTAGTGAATTTTTTTGTCCCCTTATACGTTCCACTGTTTTGTTACCATCAGTATCTTAAATGCAGGGTCTCACAGCAATGTTCCCATTACTGAACCTTAGGATTCTTTCAAGAGATAATTTCTTAGTTCTTATGCTATAGCCAAACTCTCTAGTAATATTTTCCTCCTAGAAACTTTGGAGTTAAAAATTAATAAAACTTGTTTGCATCATCAGCCATTTCTAAATACTTAAAGCCTTTGGGACTATGCGGGAGTTGGGGGGATTCGGTTTATCTTAGAGCATTCCTGGTCTTGGGTTAAATGTTGGCAGGCCTTCTTGCTCGCTCTGTCCACAACTTGTAATTGAAGGGTGCAGGATTGGGCCACCAACTTCAGCTGATGAATCTTTTGCCCTTGCGCAGATTAACTCTTTAGACTGTAGGAATGTGTAGATATTTAAGTAATAGTAGAGCTGTGTAAGACTAAATGAAATTACTCAGATGCGTACAGTTAAAACAAATGGGTTGTGTGTTGCTGTGAGTGTATGTTTTTCATAACCATGCAGAAACAAGAGAAGCCAAAGTTTGTCCTGTGTGTGACCTTTTCTGAAAATGGTGATACTATTACAGGAGACTCAAGCGGAAACATTTTGGTTTGGGGGAAAGGTAAGACAAGATTGAAGTTAATAGTGAAATTTTAATATTAAAGACTGTGAATTTTTACATGAGTGTAGCCTCATTTTAAGAAGAATAATTTATCATGAGTTCTTTCCCAAGACCAGTCCAGCAGATTAAGTCTGGATTTTCCTCTACGAGCACCTAAAGAACATACATACCTGACTACTAGAGCACAAAATTCTATAGAATGTGTTCCCTATGGTCAAATGCTGAATCATAGAGCTATGCCAGCATGAGTGGTTCTTACTGATGTAAGAAATGGCGGGAAAAGTTCTTTTCCTTCATCAATGTAGCAGTAAGAAACACTGTTAATGTAATTGATGATCTCCAGTCTCCTGTACTGTCACTCTCTAGTGTTTGCAAAAATTATGCCTATTGACATACACTTTTAAAAAGACAACAAATAGCTTTATTTGTTTTCCCAGGAAGTCAAGCTAAAATATATGCAGATCTAATTGAATGCCTCAGCTTTATTGCAAAAGAACAGATGGATAGGACAAACTTCTTAAAAAGCATTTTCTAGTAAGAAAAGAGTTTGGTTTTTGTTTTTTTTTTGGCGGCAGAAGGCAAAGCCTGCCGGAAGGCAAACAGCAGCAACAACCTAAACGTCTACTCAGGGCATGAGATGCCATGCATAGCAATAAGGAGAAATCCCCTAAAGGTGGCCTTATTGGTAAAGAAAGAAGGGATATGGATGACAGCTGCTTCTTATTTACTCAGTGCCTTCTTCCAAGATAGTTGGAGGTTATAAGATGTAGGAAACAACATGGTGAATCAGTTACACAGTTGAGCCTTACTGAGCTGGTTTTGTAGACTTTTTTTCACCCAAGGGCTATCAGGCAATTACCACCTCCTGCTTTTGACCAAGACTCTACTGCTGAGGAAGGGGGTGGATATGGTGTTTGTATCACAGCTCCTCTTTTATTTCCCATTTCTTATTCCTATGATAGTTTAAAGCAAGACACTTGAATGCTCTTCCTTCCAAACAGAGCTTAGAAATTGCATAGTCCCATCTCCTCCCTGTCCTTGGTTGTTATTTTGGACTATCAACAGAGAAGAGAGATAGTGGGAGTTGCTGGCACGGCAGGGTCAGTGCAGTGCTCAGGGTCCGGTTGGCCTTCATGCCAGTAGACTAATTTCTGCCTTGACTGCAAGCAGTCTCTTCTGCCCTTTCTCCCAGGAAGGAGAGGGAATTCTTTGTGCACTGCAAGATCTCCTTAGCTCTGGTTCTTTTGGGACCAACAAAAATGTTTTTCTGTCTTAATACAGCATACTTTCTGTGTCTACTACTTTTGACTCAGAGCTCTATGTTCAAGCAAGGGCTGCTTCCACCAGTTTGGAGTGCCCTTAGCAAAAGCTTCTCTTAGTAGAAATGACTTGTAACTGACACATTATATCCATAGATGTGGATAGAAGCAAATGGGACTTACAAATGAAAAAGCAGTTGTTTTTTCATAAGCCCTTCGCTTGTGCTAAAGTTAGCCAAGCTTTGATGCAAGGTGCACATTTCAGTAACAGAATCACTAGTAATCATGTCTTTATACTTCATAATAGTAACGGTTCATCAAGTTAGAGATATTTAATCCAATGCAGTTGGTTAGAAGGTGTTTGAGTCTAAGAGGGACTTGACCAAGCCAAGTTTATCAATAAAGCACCTTCTGCCAGCCGTACACAGACCTCTAGCTTAGTTGGGTTTTGGTGCAAGTTAGGTGTCTGAAGGCTGTTGGAATATCCTTGGGAGGATAACAAGTTACTGGGTTATGGTTCTTTGTTGATAATGTGCGTAGTGCTACTGCAGGTCAAATGCGATGTCAAACGGTTTAGCTTAAAGCCCCATGAAAGGTTTAAATGAACCTGGTTTACTTTGTGTTTGAACTAGACTGAGTGAATATGTATACTTTTCATTTTTGAGATGGGAGGAATATGTTTTTAAGATGTACTAATTCACTGTCCTGTGGGTCTGAGCATTTTGGTGCAACACTCCATGCCCACCATTATAATTGTTTGGATGTAATCCTTGATAGGTAGTAGAGAAGTGGTGAAAAAAACCTGGGGGAAGAAAGGAGCTATTAAACTGAGTATTTCAGTGGTAATATCTTTTCTGCTTCTATCTAGGTACCAACAGAATAAGCCACGCAGTTCAAGGGGCACATGAGGGTGGCATATTTGCGCTGTGTATGCTGCGAGATGGCACATTAGTATCAGGAGGTGGAAAAGACCGAAAGCTGATATCTTGGAATGGAAATTACCAAAAACTTCACAAAACAGAGGTGATATCACCTATCTTGAAATTACTCTGCTACTCAAAATGAAATTTTACCTGTCCTCTGAACAGACCTTTTTAAATAATTATTTTTTTCTGTGGAAAGCAAATCAATGATAAAATGTAGTATCATTTGAGTCATCAGGTCATTCCTGTGATAGCCTGTTCATTAACTTACTATCTCCTTTCTAAGATCTATGGTAATTGGAAAACAAATCTTGTATTCATACTTTTTCATACTATTTCTTCCTTTCTTTACAATTAATAACATGAGGTCATTTTTCACTTCAGAGTATTAAAATGTTTTTGTAATTTCCTCTTTTCCAAAATGATGTGAGGGGTTGTTTTGGGGTTTAGTACTTATATTTTTTCATTAATTTCTTGGTTAGTGTTGTTTTTTTATTTAAAAAAGAAATTCCAAAAAGGAGTTCAGATGCTATGTAGGAATTTTAAAGCAGAATTTGTTTAGACAGAACTACGTGACTGCTAACATACTGAATGTAAGAGAACAATCAGCATAAAACTCTGAGGAAGGGTTTCAAATCTGCTGTATATTATTAAATGTTGCAAATATATATGCAGCTGGAATGGCATGTCTGGTTTGATAATTCAGTTTTTAACACAGCACAAGGTACACCCTTGTGCTGTTTCTAACCGTAGTGTCCCTCTTTTTCTCTTACTTGTTCATACAGTGATATTCCTTGTTATTTTAAATTTTACATCTTCCCTTGACCTTTATATTGGAGATTTGCACTGACTCTTTCAGAACCTTGGCTGCAATTAAAGAAACGTTCCTTGCAAGAAAGTACAAGTGATACAAAGCCTGACACTATCTCTGAGTGGAAATGCTTAGTCTGAGATCACAGCTGCAATTAAAATATGATCGAGTTAACACAGCATGAAGGAACCTTTTCTGTTTGTTGAAATACTTGGTTTATCTGTACAAGGATGTCTTGTCTTGTAGCATTATAAAGACAGTTACTGAGCTGATGCAAGATGTTAACAAACTTTTGAAAGTCAGGCATATATATTCATCCATTTCATTTCTTCTCTGTGCAACATTTATTAAAATGCATTTGCTAGGCCACATGTCTCTAAAAATAGCAATGCTTGACAAATTGTTTGACTTACCTATCTGTTTGTCTGTTATGACCACAGATTCCAGAGCAGTTTGGCCCAATAAGGACAGTAGCAGAGGGGAAAGGGGACGTTGTATTAATAGGAACCACTAGAAACTTCGTCCTACAGGGCACGCTATCAGGAGATTTTTTCCCAATTACCCAGGTAAGCTGTTGCCTTATAAGAACGTTTCTAAGTGCATAATAGCAGTAAAAGTATTGCTTAAAGTTAAGTTTCGTAAATATGCATTTATTTGATTTATTGTTACAGTACTTTGGGCAATAAAAACATTATAAATATGTATCTATCTTAAGCCAATGTATTTTTGTAATGCTTTAATATATAGTTTGGTCATTCTAATCCTATTGAAACGTGTTTAGTTTTGATGGTACCATCCTTCTTGTCAAGAAACATTTCTGCTTGTTGTAGGGTCACACTGATGAGCTTTGGGGACTTGCAGTCCATTCCTCGAAACCTCAGTTCTTCACTTGTGGACATGACAAACACATTACCCTTTGGGATGCTACCACTCATCGTCCTATCTGGAACAAGATTATAGAGGTATAAATCTATTAAACACAACTCTACTCTTCTTACAGAACTTCACAAGTAATTTGAGTTTTTCATAAGATTATTGATTAAAAATATCTTAAAGTATTAACTTGAGGGAAGAAATGAGTCATGAAATTTGTCTTTCTGAAAATGGATGTAAAACTCTTAAAACCAAGAATTTAAAACAGTAGGTTATATGGATCTATATGCTGTATAGTGTACAGTGCTGTTGACGTTTATTTTTTTTTTTACTAGGAAGAGAACCACAAATATAAAGCTAGGAAATATTTATTATTTAAAAGTAGTTCTTATCAGGATTGCTACCACTATCCTGAGCATGATAGTCAGAATTTGGAAGGAAAAGATTTTTTTGGTGACTTTTTCTGGTCATCTTTATTTATTTTCTGTAATTTAATAGTACTTTCATTAATCCTGTTCATAAATAAACAAATGTGGCTTTTAGAAATTCGCTTCCTATCTCTGGTATGAAACTTAGTGTTTAGGTGCTGAAGGAATACTTAGTGGAGGCTCAGTTTTATACTGTACGTAAGCACTCAGTTGTGCATCTGCAGACTCCTAATGGCTTTGTGGTGACATGCAATCTTGGTTACTACATGCATCACTAGGAACTGATTTTTAGAGTACATTTTTTGGACACCTGATCACTTTTCTAATTGTTTATCCATAAGAAGACATTGGCTTATCTCCTAGAGACAATGGTGATGCTTTTATCTCTCTGAGATGCCACTCTCACGGGGTTTTTTTCAGTCTTCTCTTTATATTTTTTTAATAGGTATGTGACTATGGTTTTTTTTGGAGATACATGTACTGATCACAATAGTCGAGTTATTTCTCAATCTGTTTTATCTCCCCTCTGTACAGTGGAAAAGTTCAAAAATTCCTTCAGGAAAAAGAATACATCTGATGTAGACATATGTCAAATCCCCAGGTTTGCAAATCAAATTGTAGCCAATAACTTATAGACGGCCCTCATGGTGCTGACTAAAGTGTTTTCTGTGTGATATAGTAAATAATCCTTTATTAGTTTACATGAAGTTTTGAAAATCTTAATCATGCAACTTTTTTCCTAAAAAGATTGTTCATTTTCAGGCCTACTTGCCTAAGTTAAAGCTAGTATCAGTAAGACTTCTTGAATAAAACACATCTGCAGTAAGTCTATGCTGTTGCATCAGATTGAAGCAGTCTTAACAGAATAGCATTTGCCAAATTGTCTCTTGTAGTATCCTGCTCCAGTTGTATGCCCTTGTTAAATCATGCTTGTGTGGTGAATGTGGAAATTGGAATTTATTGTATCTAACCAAGGTCATATATTCTAAGGTCTGTATTTTTGTTCACTTCTAAATTAATTGGAGAGACCACATCAACAGTTCCGCTGCCCCAGAGATGGAGCCAGATTTTCACAGCTCAGTGCCTTTTACATAAAGACAGATTGGCCTGTAGTATAAGGAATTAAAAGTACTTTTAATCTTAAAAAAAAAAAAAAAAAAAAAAAATCAGTGATACTAAGGGTTTTGGCCTGAGAAGCAGGCAGCTAATTGCATATTCCTACCTCCTAATCATTTTAGGGTTTAAGATATGTTATAATAATCTGGATTTTAAAATAAGTTCTTTCCCCTTCAGTCTTTAGGAATATTGTAGTTGGGACTCAGGGGAATGGTCAAACCTTGAGACGCACCAAAATCTTCATGTGCTTGCAAATCTCTTGAACTGCTGCCAAGATGCCAAATGCAGGATCAAATAAATACCAGCACACTTAAGCTACGAACTTCAACAATAAAGCATATTTTTAAATATCAGTGAGCAGTTATAAACCAAATTTTTCTGGCTCTGTCTTGGTAGGCTCTCTAAGAAAAGATAAACCTGTGCCTTTTTATTTTTTAAATCCAGCAAGAGCAGTGTACTGTGGTGTACAGTATGGAATGTGAACACATTAGATTGCAGAAATCCTTCACATGCAATTCTGAGTGACTTGAATGGTGACACAACAGAAACTTTCACATAGACCTTTCTGGTCTTCAGCATAGTTTGTTTTGTGGAGACTTAATTTGATTATTTAGAAATGGTACACCACTGGTTTTGTGCAAGTCTTATTTATAAATATCCTGAACTGGAGAGTATAATCATTGGTACCATTTTTATGCTTTCCTATTAAATTTCATTTTTGTCAGAAAAAATCAGCATGTAATTCAGTTGCAGGTACGAATGTGATCCTTTGCTCAATGCAAAGGTGTATGTTTTTGTAAACTTGCATACACTTTCAAAAACACTGGGGGGGAATAAGAAGTTAGTACGTCTGATATCTCTCTCATTACAGGAACAATATACTGAGGAGGGCCAGTGAAATGCAAAATTTGGCACTTTGCTCTACTGCAGTCTAAAAAAAGAGCATTTAGAAGTTTGGGTTGGTAATGAAACATCATTAGTGGAGACAACTACATTATGGGGAACAGGGACAGAACTATTAATCAGATAAGCTGCTATCTCAGAAATAAAGTTACTTAAGTAATCATCAGCTCAAAAAGAGGACTTCACTTCCACTGTTTTATCCTTTGTGTTCTCTGAAAAACAGAGCTCGAACTTAGCTGATTATGACTTTCAGTGACCTTCAATTAATATTTAGCTGTGGCTTTGCAAATATAAGACATTCTCTAAGAAACTGTTGTTATTGAAACATTTAAGAAACTGCTTCATTTACCTTCATTCTTTTGAAAAGGTTGGCAACACCAGTAGGACTATTAAACTAGATTTAGATGTATTTCTTTTTCCCTCCAAGTACACACCGTTTCATTAAGACAAGATTTCTATTATCAATCTTGACAATAATCTCCTCATTATCCACTTGAAATGTCTGAGCCTGTGTTTCATAAATCAGTGACTGATTATCTAGAGTAAATAAATCATTTCATGTTAACCTATTGTTGTCATAGAGGTGTATGTAAAAGCTTTTTAATGTAGTTATGAGTACAAGTTACTGCTCAGATTAAATTCACTCTTTGAACATCTAGTTTATTCAAGAGAATATTTTAGCATTTACTATGAAATTATACTTTAAAAATTAGCACATTTTCCTTCTTGGACTACTGTTTAGAACATGTGTATAGAAATCCTGGATCTCAGCAATTCTCTGAAATTTTTTTTAGAGTTAGTAACGTCTTTGAAATTAGTCACTTGTTTAAAATTAATGAGAATATCCCTTACACCTAGCTTCTAGGGCTAGTAATTACAAATTGTTAAAAATGTGAACACCTTTACTAAAATGGCTACAATGTGATACTGTTTTAGAATATAGAAAATCAAGGACACACGCGTTTTTGTGAGATATGCTACTGGATTATTTTTGCTTACATTTTATAATTATTTTTGGCAGGTATCAGAAAAAATGAACTATTTATTTTGGGACTTTCAGCTATAACCTGGAGAGTTCTGGAGCTCATTCTTTGTAACTGAACAAGTATTAGAAAGAAAATGCTTACCTTGTTTTTTAGGCATATGTTTAAATTGCAAGAAAAACACTGCAGTTCTACCTGTCTCCATAATAATACGCTATAGAAAGTAAAATGTTTTAAAATTGCATATCAAAATAAGAAACCCCTTAATCTCCTACTGTGCTGCAACAGGCAGGTGCTGAAAAAGGAGTGTGTAGAAGTTAGGCTTTAGTCTCCCAAGCAAAGTGAAACATACTGGTTTTGAATAAGGTACGTGCTCGTCCTTTAGACAGTAGGTAAACTAGAGCTTTTAGGTCACCTTTTAGGTCAGCTCTAATTTAATAAGTTATTTTTATCTTTTACTTGTTTGTGATTTGTTGAGAAGCTGCCTTTCCCAATGTTATTGTTATGAATCACTTGCCAAGTTATTTTGAGATAGTGAAGAAAAGAAAACAGTGGCCTTGTATAGAAGGGAAGAAAAAATCTAAAAATCTATTGGGTAATATTTCAATCACTTAAAATGCTTATTTCTCCTCAAGTTTGTATTTTAAAAAAAAAAACCACCAAAAAATCAACAAGAGAGACTTACTCTGTTCCTGAGACAGATAATTGAACTGTGTTTTTGTTATAACTTGGACTGGTAAAAAAGTGTGTTTCCTTCTGAAACATTTTAGGATCCAGCACAGTCTTCAGGTTTTCATCCTTCAGCATCTGTTGTCGCAGTAGGGACGCTGACCGGAAGGTAAGATGCGCAGAGCTACACCATGGCCACCAACAAACGCTACATGATTTTTCCAGCTCACGTCCAAGTTCATGTTCTTGTTGTGCAGATTTAGGCATGACGTATATTCATCTCCTATTGATTTCTATTGAATTTCAGTGTGAACTTTATTTGTATTGCTTTAGTGCTTAGAAACCCTAGTCTTGGACCAGTACCCCGTGTTTGCTGAGTGTTGCATGAGCACGGAACGAAGCGATGGTTTCTGCCCTGGGAGAGCAGTAATTTAAGATCAGTGGGAGGAGATGGATTCGGACAGGGCGGGATGTCTAGGTTAGCAGTGAGACCGTGCGTGGGAGGCGCTGTCACCATACCAGCGACCAAAACGTAAAGTCGTTGTGTCCGTTGTGGCAAAGGAGAGGCTAGAGGAGGACTTTGAGATAATTAATGAGTTAGCTTTGCAGACGCTTACGGAGATCTTCTCTGAGGCCTGTAGGGCAGCATAGAGGAAGTTACAGAGAAAAAAGTTGCTCGTTGGAAAATTTAGCCAGTGGTTTATTATCTCTAATGCAGTGACAACCAGAGGCTTTGACAAAAATTTGGCAAACGTTCCGCTCTGCTAGACATAGTGTAAAAATGCATATTAAGAAACTTCTTCTGCCTGAAGAGTGTAAGGCGTAAACAAGGCAGGCAAAACTGAGGTGAAAGATAGTATCTCCATTTTACAGGGCAGATTGAGCCCTTGGTCACATAGTGGGTCAATGGCAGACCCTGGTTTAAGCTTGGTTGTCTGTGGCAGTAGCAAGGAGTGCCTTCGCCGTAACTTCATCCTCTCCTTTAATGTCACTTGAGGGCAGACTTTGCTGTTAGTATTGAAAACAGTTCCGCTTAACTGAGAACATATAGAATGCTTATAGATTATGAGCCAAGATTATTTCGGATTGTATATCACTCCTAAATAAAGGATTTACTTTAGTTACTAAATTTGCTTTATTTACTAAATAAAGTAAATCAAAAGGAGAAGCTTTGAGAGGAATTTTTACTTTGTCTTTAATAATTTGATGCAAGTATTGAAATGCAAATTTTATCTTTGTCCTTTCTACATGTTTCCACAAATTAAATTTTGGTTCA